CTGACCTTCAGGACACACCTGACGATATGAAAGGATAATTAGTGTGATGAATAAACATCACCAGGCGATACTGAGTGACCATAAGAAATTATAACATCACACAATACAACTAGCCCATAATGATTGTAGAAATGTAGAAATCATTACGAGTTAGGCTCTAGAAGATTGCTATTGAAAGTGTTTTGCCTCAGTTCTTATACATGCAGGAATGGACTACATGTACAGTGAGTAGTAACTTAAGGTAAAACTGATAAGCTAAATAAATACATATGACGTGTTACTTTGCCTCTTCTTATAAATGTTGACAAGTGCCTAAAGATCTTAAACTTAGTCATCTATTCAAATAAAGCAACAGAAAGTTATAGAAACATGTTTTGCTGTTTGTGTTTTATTTCTAATGACATGTTCAAAAGAACCTTCTAAAGCATATAATGTTTCACCTGTGGATGATGTTGTCTTGTTATCTTTTTCATGTGTCTCCAAATCCCCTGGTCTTCTCCAAGACAGTCTTGTCAGGTTCAGACAGGAGTCCTCACTACTGCATCAGTCAGCAGCCACCTAACTAGCAGACATTACAATTTACAAACTTGCCTCAAATAACATGAAGTAAATGGTAGGTAAATGCAGAATTCAGATTTTTCTTACCTCATATTATATAGAGTCTTCAAATCTCCAAGTCTTGTCTGGTCTGGTTCAATCTTCTCTTGTCAGGTTTAGACAGTCGACAGTCTCACTACTGCATCAGTCAGCAACCACCTAACTATACAGACATTTATATTAATAGAAGTTACACACTTGTCTCAAATAACATGAAATAAATGGTAGGTGAAATGCAGAATTCAGATTTTTCTCACCTGATATTCATCTAGAGTCTTTAAATCTCCTGGTCTGGTCTGGTCTAATCTTCTCTTGTCAACTTTAGACTGAGGAGTCCTTACTTCTTCATCAGTCAGCAGCCACCTACCTATATACAGACATTAGAAGTTACACACTTGTCTCAAATAAACCCGGCAAGTAAATGGTAAAATGCAGAATTCAGATTTTTCTGACCTGATATTCATCTAGAGTCTTCGAATTTCCAGGTCTGATCTGGTCTAATCTTCTCTTGTCAAGTTCAGACAGGAGTCCTCCACTACTGCATCAGTCAGCAACCACCTAACTATACAGAGATTACAAGTTACACACTTGTCTCAACATGAAGTAAATAAGAGGTAAAATGAAGACCTCAGATTTTTCTTACCTGGTGTTTATCTTGGAGTCTTCGAATCCCCAGGTCTGGTTTAATCTTCTCTTGTCAGTTTCTTACCCCTGCTGCATCAGTCAGCAGCCACCTATAGCTACAACTATAAAGACATTACAAGTTACACACTTGTCTCAAATAACACGAGTAAATGGTAGGTAAAATGCAGAATTCGGATTTTCCTCACCTGGTATTCATATACATAGAGTCTTCAAATCTCCAGGTCTGGTCTGGTTCAATCTTCTTTCGTTAAGTTCAGACAGGAGTCATCACTACTGCATCAGTCAGCAGCCACCTAACTATACAGACATAAGACGTTACACACATGTAACAATTGTGGTAACATTAAGTAAATAAGACGTGAAATGAAGACATCAGATTTTTCTCGAGTCTTCAAATCTCCAGGCCTGGTCTGGTTCAAACTTCTCTTGTCAGGTTCAGACAGGAGTCCTCACTACTGCATCAGTCAGCAGCCACCTAACTATACAGACATTAGAAGTTACACAGTACCTGAAGCTACAAGTAAATATTAGGTAAAATGCAGAATCTAGATATTTTCTCACCTGGTGCCTCTGTCATCAGTACTGAACACCTGCACAGGTTGCTGACCCTCAGAGCACAGTTAACTCAGACAGGATTCTATGAAAAAAAATAATTACAAAGCATTATCAACCTGCCATACATTGCAGAAACTGCCATTATAACACTGAACAAACTTTACCAGCTATAGATGCCTTAGTCTTATCCATTAAAGGCATCAAAAGCAATTTTCAGGTCTGTATAATTTTATAAGCCAATTTCCTGGTCATTTCTTAATGTAGTAAGTTGAATCAACATTCAACCTTAAAAGTTCAACTTTGTACTTTATCAACCCTGAAAAAAGGTTGATTGTTCTATTTTCTAGGCTGGCGCTAGCTATTTAATGGTGGCACCTAAAAATAGAGGACTCTTTACATAGTTTGTTTTGGTTAAAATGAGTATGAAATGATTTTACAGTGAAAAACAGGGATATTAACAGCAATAAAAAATCAAACTCCTTGAACTGAAATTTAACTCCGCGCAAAATTCTAAAAACAGCAATTGTTAATTAATAAAAATGGTAAATTCTTGTATGCATGATACGTGTACAGAAGAATCAAACTTTCATGCCGTTTTTATTTTGGCGCCTTCAAGCTTTGACTTGTTTACGTAAGTTTTGGCGGGAACACCTAAAATTATGCACACCTGCACATTCCAACAGATGTATCTACACGTGTAGATAAGGAAAACTTGAAAGCCAGTTTTTCTACATTAGTATAGCCTCAAAACGTTGAACATTTGACAAAAAGACATACACATGCATTCAATACTCTACAGGAACGCCGCACATGGTTAATGCTGAAGAAAATGTGGTAAAATATTGTGACTTTTTCAAAGCCTGTTTTACGTTAGGAACGGTCGCTTGGAACTTATAAAACCACGTGTTTTCATTCGAAATATAACTTGACATTTTGTTACTAGTTGCAAGGGAATAATATCAAATTGTCAGCCAACAAGTTTGTTGGTTTACCTGGAAAAATAAGTGAAGTCGTCTCCACACCACGCCACTCCAACTGTCCCGCCATTTTGTTGTCTTGTCCAAAATTCACCAGGTCAGGAAATCCGCACTTTCTCTTCAAAACATCACCAGAACGGCACAAATCCACAGCGAAAACTTCCCCAACGCTCTGCTGCACACTTAAGAAAACATTCCATTGGCAAAAACTCGAGAAAGTACCAGAAAAGTTGACATGAATTGCAGCCTAGAATATCCCTGTCGTGCGAGAGCGCCATTTTGAACGGAAGCGTGATTTTTACACAGGTGTGGAAAACAGCTGTGTCTAATTAATGTGAAACCGATAATCTAATTACGAATGAATGAAAATGCAGCTGCAGGGTGGCTTTAGTATTCTTATCATTGAAAAAAAAAACGCTTTCACGAATAACGTTTATGCGAAAAGTTAACGCACACACTCAGACAAACATATCTGTCCTTGGTACTGAACAGGAAAACAATTGAATTTGAAATACAATCAAGGAGTCGCAGTGCATGGATCAAAAGCGGCCTCTAGCTGTTCATTGCAGTACTGCACCATAATGTTGTCAGCCGGTCATATTACTGCAGTAATTGTTTATGGCCGCCTAGGGGCGCTTTTGATCCATGGCAACCTCAACATCAGGTGATTCAAGCTGCAAAGGAGGCGGACCGGCATATATCTTACCAGCATAGTTTCTGAAGAAAAATTGAAAGGTGAATACCGTCCTTGACTACCTGTCTGGACCACTAGGGCTTGTCCATTTCCCGGTGCAATACAGCTACTTTCTGTACTGCAGTGATTTTTTCGCCGCTATGGGGCGTTTTTGATCCATGGCGATTTCAACACCAATGTCAGATGTTCTACCGGTTGACGGATTGTCATGATTTTTAGTATGTACGTGGCTCAAGAGATGCTTGACATAATTAAATGCCAATTAGGCAAATCATGGGATAAATAGCATAGTTAGTAAGGACATTCTATAAACCTGCTGTGTTCCACAATAAGACTATGGAACATATGGTATGTGTGATTGAGAACGAAACATTGGCAGATGTAGATTATGTAAATGACAACCTAATTTGCATAATTTGCCATAACTTCATAGTGGTGACTGCAGGGAATTTCATACTTGCTGCATTTCAAAGTTAAGCGAAGGCGAACATCAATAAACATAATTTATTAAAACCATTTACCAACATTCATTTGCATAATTTATGATGAAGTGTTAGAATATCTTTCTTTGTTAAGATATGACTGTCATTGGGTGGAGCATGTGATCAACTGATATCAATTCTTTTCATAATGAGAAAAACGTATAATTTCATCATTTGGAACGTTTAATACTTGGTGAAGGTATGAAATTGTGGAACTCTTGTTTCTGTTCAGCGAAGCTTCTTATTTATTACAAGTGACTTACATATATGTACACCTATTGGTTTGCAATGACATCTACCAAACAAGCAAGTGTGTTATAATTGTTTTCTTTTTACTTCCAAGGCAGGGTGATCCTACCCAACCTATCCCACAATATTTAAACAAGTGATCACTAATATCATGTACATATGGCCATGTTAGCTGGACATGGCATTTTGGATATAACAGTTTGCATATGACAAGTACTTTCACAATGAAAGCTTTATAGTAGCAACATTAGGTATATATACATGTACATGATAATAATGGAAAAGTAGCTTGCTCATTACACTGTGCATTGTATATTAATAATAAAACATGATTTATGATACATTGGAACCACAGCACAATTTGCATCTCCCTCACACACAGGAGGCTATTGCAACTTTTTCCCATTATCAGGCAATGTTGATTTGATTATATGGATGACATCCTCTAGGAACTCCAAAACTGATGCGAGCGTGCGAATAAAAAAAGTTTGGCAAAAAAAAAGTTGCTTTCATTATGAAATCTACGTGGTTTTGAAGGTTGAACAAATGACATAGAGTATGGTTTGGCGAATAATCTACTCTTCAAATTCATGTCTTTACATTTTTGTCCTTTTGTTTGGTTTTGGCATTCAGTATCGTTTTCCAATGTTTTTTTTTTCAACTTACTCTTTGCTCATTTTGCAACTGTTTTGTATGATTTACAGTATGGATGAAAACTTTCTTTTTTGAAACGGCCGAAAATTCATGCTCGCGGATGTCATCAAATCAACATGGCCTCAGTTCCCAACATTCAATCAGTTTACTAGTTCGACAAAAACGGATTTAAGAAATGCACTGTATCATCTAGAGTATACAATACAGAATAGATCATATAGAACACAGATTTCCAACAAGCGTGAGTGTATTCAACACATCCCGTTACAAGAGGAGCATGCAACAAAGCTAGCCCCCTTCACGGGCTCTACGACTGGGCTTTTTGGGAGCATTTTTATTATAATGCGCCCTTTCCCCCTTATTTCTGCCACATCACTTCTATTTGTACCGGGGGTTCTTTTGCCGGCCCTGTAAAAGATCCTTAACGTTGATATGCTACAAAGAAAAGAGCACATTATACATTTGTACATGTTCCACAGTACAAAAAGCCCAATCATAGGGCCTGTAACGGGGCTGCAGCAAACTAGAAGCTAACCAATTGCACAATATCTGACACAGCTCTGACTGAAAACTCAGTACCTCAACAGTGTTTGACGCAGCCTTTTATCTTTGTTTCACCTTTAGTAAAAAAAAAACATGAAGAGAAGTAACCAATGCTAATATATACTTCGCAAATGACATACTGTGGGCTGTTTTTGCCATGATAATATTCTCTTAGGTGCACTTGTCAACACATGAAAACCTACGTCATGTTCCCAACAAGGCAAATCAAGATACAATGTACCAGTGTCAAGAAAGCAGACTCAGAAATTTTGCCTAATTACTGTGAAGACAGACTGGATGATTGTAACAATGAGCATTTGCATTGCCTAAAAGCCCTTCAAGATACTGTACAATGAAGGTCACAATCAAATTTTAAAGGTATAATATTAAGATCATATAAGATATACATGTACATGCCACATTACTCCCCTAAACTACCATCCTTAGTTTGACATAGCCTCAAAGCAGACTTCTTGGGGGGCAAGACACTATCCAACCAACTTGCCTAACTGGCTGGATTCATAGTGTCTTCCCCCTGACAATTCTGCTTGGAGACTAACTTTCACATCTGCATGGAGACATTTCCAATATCAGTTTAACTCGCATGTTAGACACAGATAAAAACTATACAATGAAAGGTAAATTATGAAGATAGCATACAGCAGCTGACAACTACACCAGTTTGGTGTGTTAAATCCAGTTTTTTTTTGTTTAGCGTTAATAGTCCCTTGACCTAAAGCAGTACAATGGTTCATTGACATCATCAGCGACATTTGAACAACAAAAAGCTATTTCTGCTCCTCCGACCGCCACTTTTCCGACGCCTCGCGTCTGGCGTCCGGCAGGAACTGGTTGCGGACGCCGCCGATGACATTGGAGGTGGCCTCGGTGGCCAGGATGACCGGTTTGACCATGGTGGGGGGGATCTGTCGCAGCACCCCTCCCACCGCTCCCGTCACCCCCTTCTGTTCATGCTGCTCCGCTGCCACACGGTAGATGGTGTGGGCTGTGTCTGTAACACCCTGGGAGGGAAAAAACAAGTTGTCTTCAGCTAAGCTCACCTAATTATCATTCTTAAAAGCCACCAATTTGATTTGTAGGTCCCAAAAGGGCAAAAAAAAACATGTCTAGGCATCCTATAAGTCCCATGAATCTAAATACTTTTTTGGAAGTCAAGAAAATGAAGCGGGTGAATCCGAGAACCAATTAGATTGGCAAGGCCTTAGCACATTTGATTGCTCTACTGACCAGTAATATACATGATTTCCTTATCCTCTTGGTGAATATTTGAATTGTGATACTTGACTACACAATACAATCATGTACTACGCCAGTGCAAAATCCACATGGCACTTCTGCAGAAAGTGTCGTTTCAGGTCCTGTTCAGGTATTTAAGGATGATATTCTATCTGTAGTTTCCGAATGTTGTGTCAGAAAAGATATCTTGAAAAAATCCTGAATGCATCTTTCACCTAACATCCAACAGAAACCGTGATTTTTCATAGCTGAAGTACGTTCTGTCATCGTGCTTACAATACACACATGGAGACTGTTGCCTTACCTCCCTGACGACATTGTAAGCCTTAGTGACACCCTCCCGTACGTCTGCCGGCTGTTGCGCCATGCGGTGCTGGATGAACGTTCCCTGTCCCAGCTTCCTCACGCTGGGCCCGGACGACAGCATGTCGTACGTGAACTCCGCAGCCGTCTGGATGGACTGGACCACCCGATTGGTCAGCTCCAGCGTCGCCATGGCCGTGGACGTGGCGAATGAGCTCGCCCCTCTCTGCAGACCGCGGACGATGCGACCATCTTTACGGTACTGTTCAATAGGCAGCCACACCAGGTCCACTATACCTTGGACTGGATGAAAGAATAAAACAATTTTTTTTTACAAGAGGGAACTTCATACATCGTACTTCTCATCTCTCAAGTGCACAGAAATTTTGAAAGAAGCAAAAAATGATACAATGTACTAAAAAGATCAACAACTGACTTGCACAATGCATAATGTTTACCTTCGCATGGTCTAGCCTTAAACTATTGCAGCTCTGTTTATGCTTACCCCAAGACGTTAATAATATTATGTATAATGTATCATTGTGACCAGCACCTCTACCTCTGTCTGTCTACTTGCTACATAATGTAACCCATCACCACAGTGTCTGCTACAGCACCAGTTACCATGCTGACAGACATCTGTCCAGATCATCGACCTTATTTGTTTGGAATGGAAGAAAAGGAAGAAGACAAAACAGAGCAAAATATCTATTCTCCTTCAAATAAGGTAAACATGATGATACAAAAACGTGAAAATTTAGAAAATGCCCGTGTCTTTTACTTACCAATTTGTACAAGAGAATGCATCGGCCCTACTCCCCCCAGGATCCCAGGCAGTTGGTTTTTCCTGATGTCCTCCCCCCACTCTGTCACGGCGTAGGCCACCATCTTGTCATACCCCAGTAGCCTGTACACACGCAGTACATGATTTAAAAGCTTAAGTTGCAATGATGATTGTGTTACATTCAATGCATGAAAGCACTGTTCTACATGTACAATGTATGTACTACACCTGTACAGTTCATTTTGGCATTGAGTGAAATAGGATCTGGAGAACAATTCCCTTAGTCTGGTTCACAAAATTACTGTGTATAAATAATATTATGCTTCCATGCAAACAATCAACAGTAATGGAGAATTTCTCTAAGTTTGCATCATCAGTAAATTACTTATAAACTATAATGCCAATTTAATACATTTGTAAATTCCCAACTCTGAGCACAGTTACAAACCCAAGTTCAAGGCACCTGGCACATGTTTTAGGTACATTGTACTAGTATATGGGCTACTGAAACTTGCTTGCCAATGGCCATATCTAAGGATTCTGAATATGATTGTACGGCTGTTTGTAATTTCAAAATCAACTTACCCGTGTCTGTAGTTGAGTCTTCTCAGCTTCAACTCAGAGTTGTTGAGTTGACTGAGTCCTAGCAGCAAACCTGCAAATGCACCCTACAGGAGAGGACATATAGCATATTAACTAACAGTTTCTATCATTTTCAGCATTTACATTCTACATCAATCTACATCTGCAATGGAAACAAAATCTGACTTTCAAGTAATGAATCTTGACTTGATTTAAACCTGGAAACGTACCTCCTTGGAAGAAGAAAGACTAGACTTAGTACACTACGGTGTTTGCTGAAGAGAAATGCCACTCAATGATCATGACACCTGGTTTGATGTGAATGAGTAAGAAGAAGACAGACCTGTTCCATGTCCACCCTCTTCCCGTGGTAGTCTAGTCTGATGGGCACCTCAGGAGAGAAGGTGAACTCCCTGGAAACAGATATAAACATTTGAAGCATAGTTCCATTCTTATACTGTAACAGTACTTCATAGAGCAGAATTTGGAAACTAACAAATTGCCAGTGGGAAAAACAATCATGGGAAAGACTGGTCAATGTTGTAGATATGGAATGGAGACATGCCACACAAAATGTAAGTAACTTACGTCACACATGGGACATGATATTATTAGTTACAGGTGTTCCAGCCCATGTGAGAACTTGGATTATCACACACTCAGGCTTTTGACCGTTATCATACAGCTCTATACAACAATTCAAACACATGTGCCATGCACGAGAAAATTGGTAGCCAAACAGCTCCTTCAGTGTATGTGCTAAACTAAAAGGTTAATAGGTAAACTATGTAGCTGGTATAACGCCTTTTGGGGTAACACTCCAGCTTCACAGGCACATGAACAACCTGTTACATGCTTTGCACATCTTCTAATGAATATTCTGATCTAACTGTAAGTATTGTTTAAACCTACAGAGGTTACCCCGGTAAAACTGGAAGGCATTCCTAAACCCTAACCTGAAGAAGATAGGACCAGCAGGACTGGATTCTGACAGCCCACTAAACTAGATGAAATCAAACTTAACCTTCTCCCTGCTGCCTAACCTTGTAACCAATAGAAAACTTGTAGTTGAATATATACTTCAGTGTATGAAAGGTTAAACCCTAACCTTAAGAAGATAGGACCAGTAGGACTGGATTCTGACTGCCCACTAAACTACATGAACTCAAACTTAACCTTCTCCCTGCTGCCTATAATTTCTACTTCAAAGGTTAAAACATTATAAACCCTAACCTGAAGAAGATAGGACCAGCAGGACTGGATTCTGACAGCCCACTGCCCCTGGATGAGCTCATGCTGGAGTCTGTACCCTCTGCTCCCCTGATGACAGGCTCCTCCCCTGACATGTCACCCAGCGGGGGGGACCCTACCAACATCACAGGACTGGGAGGGGAGGTCTGCAGGGGACTCACACTGCTGTCTACTGCATCTGGGAAAAACAAAGGGTACTTGTTAATTTGTTTATTTGCATTTTCCATACGTTACAATGGAGGGGGACAAAACAGGTAATAAAGATCATCTTCCAAGTTGTCTCCCATGAAAGACAATTATAAAATACAGATTTTGGCAATAGATGTGAAACTTAAAACATCAAAACAACTTAAATGCAGGAAAGTAAGTATATGTATTCCATAGAACAAAACTTTTCCTTCAATCTATACTGTGTGATTTAAATTGCAGTCAAGTTAAGAAGGAACAAAACAGCAGAAAAGTTTTTTTTACCCTCAATAGCAAGTCGAACACAACGTCATGACACTACCAGTAAATCATCAAACAAACAAAGTTATGTGTCAAAACAAATCATCATGTTACACTACACGGGTACATACCAGGGCAGGTACTGGTTTCATCAGCAAGCTCTGAGAAGAAGTCTCTCAGGAAGTTGATGGCATCCTGTAGAAGATAGCAAGAAAAACATGCTTAACCTTTTCTAGTCACTATGTTGAAGCATCAGTCAGTAGGAGGCAACTTCCTCTGTGTCAGTTTTGTTCTTTCACATTAGGCCACACTGACTTAATTTTATCCATGATATCCACTGAAGGCCCCCAAACTAGAGCGTGCAGGTGAATAAAAAACAAATCCAGCCAAAAATGCTAAACCACAGGAATATAAAGCTGGTATAATTGTGATTTGCACCAGAAGTGGCGAGTGTGCAATCAACTATGCCACACAGACACCACATATTACACTATTAGTATTAGGCTTGCTACTCAGGTGTCGCCAAAAAGCATGTAGTACCTGATCTATGTTGAGTCTGAGCGGCAGTAGTGACACCCTGAGGCAGCACTCCTGGGCCTTTAGTTGGGGGTCAGGGCGGATGTGTAGGGCCTTGATCATCACCTGCACAAGTCAAACAGAAAAATACATCACAACATTTCAGACATGCAACTTCTAGTTTCATTTTATTGATGATACTGAAACTGATAATAAAGTACTAGGAAGATGACATCTGCAAAGCAAATGCATAACTACCTTCACATGGTCAAGCCCAACAAACTACAGTACTGCTCTGTTTATTCTTACTTAAACACATTCATGTATATGGTGACCAGCCCCTCAAACTCTGTCCTGCACTTGCTACATAATGTACATGTAATCCAACACCACAGGGTGTTTCCTACAACATCAGTTAGTATGATGACAGCTGTCTGGTGATTTCTTTGGAATGAAGAAAAAGAGGAAGAAACCGAGCAAAAACAAATATTTGACGAATATTTATAACCAAGAATGTTTATAACCAAACACACAACAAAAAGTTAGCTACATGTACTTTGGTGAGTTTTGGAGATACAATCTGCCTCTTCTTCAATCCAGTAAAGATCTAGACTTGGAGTTCTCTTGTAACAACAAAACAATAATGTTTTCCATCTGCAAGGGTTAACATAATCTTTCCATAATTGCATTTCTCAAGTACCACTTTGATACATAAAAGCCCAATACACATGACCACCTGCCCCTCAAAGAAATTCCGTGATATGCATTAAAAGGAGATACTAATGACCAAAAGGTACATTGATAAACCTGACATCATGACTGACCATGTTGGCGTGAGCCTGTTTCGGCCGTGCCTCGGACGTGTACTGATACAGGAACTTGTTGATCTGTGAGGAGGCCAGCCTGTCTCGGATCTCCAGCTCCGTGATGATCAGCACCTGTCTAGACGCCTGCTCCGTGTCCTCCGGGAACACCTCGTGTTGTAACCGCACCTGGAACATGCACCACTGGACAGTTAGTGATATTATCACATACCTGGGCTGTGAAAACTTTCGATACGGGCTTTTAACAGTTATCACATAGGTTTCCAAAAGTTCCATAGAAAGATTCAAATGGGTTTCAGGATTGGAACGAAGGATTTGACATTGTTACCCTAGGGTCCACCGCTAATGGTTATTCTAATAAAGTTTCAAAGTTCAAAGTTTCAAAGTTACTGTACAATTTTTTGTCTAGGGACACCAAGTTTCCTCAACTTCTGGCACATTTCGCATTGAAATGTGCATTTTCTTGGTTTCTTGGGAAGGCAACCATGGACAGCTATGTGTGAGGGTCATTCAGCACCATGGACAGCTATGTGTGAGGGCAATTCAGCACCATGGACAGCTGTGTGTGAGGATCATTCAGCACCCAGGACAGCTATGTGTGAGGGTCATTCAGCACCATGGACAGCTGTGTGTGAGGGTCATTCAGCACCATGGACAGCTATGTGTGAGGGCAATTCAGCACCATGGACAGATACATGTGGGGAGTCATTCAGCACCATGGACAGCTGTGTGTGAGGGTCATTCAGCACCCAGGACAGCTATGTGTGAGGGTCATTCAGCACCATGGACAGCTATGTGTGAGGGCAATTCAGCACCATGGACTGCTATGTGTGAGGGCAATTCAGCACCATGGACAGCTATGTGTGAGGGTCATTCAGCACCATGGACAGCTATGTGTGAGGGTCAATCAGCACCGAGAACAGTTATGGGTGAGGGCAATTCAGCACCATGGACAGCTGTGTGTGAGGGTCATTCAGCACCCAGGACAGCTATGTGTGAGGGTCATTTAGCACCATGGACAGCTATGTGTGAGGGCAATTCAGCACCATGGACAGCTATGTGTGAGGGCAATTCAGCACCATGGACAGCTATGTGTGAGGGTCATTCAGCACCACGGACAGCTGTGTGTGAGGGTCAATCAGCACCGAGAACAGTTATGGGTGAGGGCAATTCAGCACCATGGACAGCTACATGTGGAGAGTCATTCAGCACCATGGACAGATACATGTGGAGAGTCATTCAGCACCATGGACAGATACATGTGGAGAGTCATTCAGCACCATGGACAGATACATGTGGAGAGTCATTCAGCACCATGGACAGATACATGTGGAGAGTCATTCAGCACCATGGACAGATACATGTGGAGAGTCATTCAGCACCAAGCAGTGGGTGTTTCCGTTGTTGTGTTGGAACAAAGCTTAAATTTTAGATCTTTGATGTCTTGTTTTCAAAGTTATGACAACATGAAGTTTTGCAGATTATGACGGTCACCTTGTTCATCTGCAGCTCCACATGTACGTCTGTGTCCCTGCCTGGTCCCCCCCTGGCCTGCCAGCCCAGCCGCCCATGTCTGCTGTAGCTGGTGTCTCTCTGGGAACCTGCCTTGGCCGGAGAGTGCTGAGGACTCCGCACATACCTAAACACACAGCAATGGTAGCAGTGGTCATTCTCTTCTCAGTAATGGCTTTCACACTTGAGATAAGAAATGACAAGCAGGTACATTATGGCTGCAAGGAGACTGCTGGCAGAATATTATTTATTTATTTGAACAATAAACTATATACAAAATAAGTACAAAATTATGTAAAAGAATAATGTACAGGAGGAGGTAGGAAGCCTACGGGACCCTCCTTCTTCCTAACTTACTTGATGATGATCATAAAATTGATATCATAATGACAATTGAAAAGGAATTAACGAAAAACTTAAATTAAATACAGCAAAATTGTATACAAATCCAGAACATAATGTGCACAGAACTTCTAAGGGACCTTTCGTTCAAAGTCGTCTTTGCTTATTCAAGGATGCCATGCCATCCATAGCATGATGTGCAAAGGACAGACTTCTTTTGCAAACATCCAATAGAAAATGTGGTTTTGCACAGCCAAAGTACGTTCTGCCGATATGCCCATACAAGGTTGTGAAGACAAAAAATAAAGGGAGATAATACGTACTGCATGATGCCATGTGTTGGGCTGGGGTTGGCACTGCTGGAGCGACTCCCTTTGGGAAAGGAAGGAGAAACCATAAACACATGAAAATTACTCACATTCTTACAATTAGACTTTTTACTTAAACTTTTTGGTAACTCTAATAAAAAATTCTTTTTAGACCATTATACATGTACAGTATATGGGGGCAGTGGGTTGATGATCCACTGTGTCTAGGGCACAGTATTGGAAGGTGGAGCCCATCCCTCTCCTTCTACCTCCCCAACCAAAGTCAGGTAACCAAAGTCAGGTACCCATTTTACACCTTTACTACCAACACAGATGAATTTATGATAAAATGAACATTTGTATACCTTTAGCAGCCATTCTCTCCTGTGTCTTGCCAAAGTCAGATCCCCCGTACATGTGCCAGACTACAGACATCTCCCTGAGGGTGTACCTCAGCACGGCGGGGGGGAAGTGTTCGGGGGCCTTCAGCAGGTCAGACTTGCCCAGGGGCTGGCTGAAGTGGTTCTCCTCCACCCTGACGGGGTCTTCTGTCAGCACACGGACCTCAGGCTCACCGTGTCTCGGCTAGAGGGGGGACAACATTGTAGTAGATGACGTTAGGCCATTAGAAACAGACTGACACAAAGTAACAAGTTACAGTTGACAGTTATACTTCTAGTACCTGCTTTCTTCGTAGAAACAGCTTTTTTCATGGTTTTCGTTAAATGTTTGGTCAACATTGAATTAGAATTTTGCAGATGATATCATTCTTTTCGGACACAACATTGGAAAACTATAGACAGGATGTTTTGCCAAAGTGCTATGCACAATACATTGAGTTTTACAAGGGCGCAGCATACATTATTCTGCAACAATTATAGTTTACATGTCATTATTTACAAATTGAAAGTAAATGACCTTTCTCAACTGTTTTAGTTTATTTGAACTTTTTGACCTAGACAATACTCCTTTCTTCTTCAAAATTACAACAAAATACATAAAATAGCTGTTAAAATAGTGGCGTTATGAAAATAAAGACCTTAAAAGTTTGAGAATTTGAAGAAGATCCACAGTCACACATTATGCCCATTATCTTGTACGCCGTACTATTCAGCATATTCTCAGCAATGATAAAAAGATCTGCACTACAGTACAAGGTGCTCACCATGATGCCAAGTCCAGGGTCGTCGATGATACAGAAATCCTCGTCCCTGTCATCGCTCCAGTCATCCCCACTGTCAGCGGCACTGCCAGAGTCGTCCTCGGCCGCCACAGATGAGGTGGGGAGGGGGGCGCAGGTCTGGCCGTTCTCATCTGGGAACAAGAACATGATGGAGGGTGGGGACTGGGTCAGGCTAGAGGGCTCACTGCCGGCACCTGTAGACTGGGCTAGGTGGAGACAGCAAGAGGCATAACGTCACCCCACGTACTGCCATAGACTGGACCAACCTGTCTGGACTTGCCTCTTACTATTAGTCAAGCAAGTCGATTATTTGAAAAGTTGAGAAATTACATGAACAGGCACAAGAAGGGTTGACACATGTAGTACCATCATGTTCTAAACTGTTATCACACAGGCTTCCAAAAATTCGTTAACATTTCACATAGTATTACATCACATGCGCTGCTTTCGAAAAAAATTGGAACACTGGATTTGGACACTGGAATCGTTACAATTTTTCTTTGGGACACCAAATTTTCTCAACTTCTGGGACATACTGCATTTGAAATGTGTGTTTTCTGGAGTGGGTAGGACATACATGTAAATAAAATACAACACAGTGTACTCCGCATCGCCCTCAGTCCCAGCCCTCTCTTTGGCTGTTTGGGCGATCCAACCCGTGGTCAGGGTCAGGGTCATGTACACTGTGTTGTACATGTAGGGCCTAGGAAAAAAATGTTGCAGTAACTGTTGTGTTTCCTATTTCAGTCCTTAAAAAACTAGGTGTCAGATCGTGGAGCTAGAAAAGGTCAATCAGCTCAAAAAATTTATGTCCCCTGCAGGAGTCCACACAAAAATAGGCTAGGGTCGTCATTTTTTTCTAGGGTCGGTCGGGAAACAGGAAACACAACATTTTTTCTTAGGCCCAGTCTATATGTAGTGTTGTAGTCTCTAATGTATATACAGTATATGGATCAAAGAGTGTCATGCAATCGAAAGAAAGAATGCAAGGAGACCATGCGTGACAAGCTACCACTACATGCATGTGTACTGGCAGGTACACACCCGGAGTGGTCTGATATGGCACAGCGGCAGAAGAGGCATGGAGGGAGGAGGAAAGAGTTCTGTCCTGTGGTGCAGACAGAGGACTGGACTGCAGGCTGGGGTCCAGACCAGCTTTTGTAGTGAAAATGTGTATGGTATCATATGGTATGATTCTAGTACAGATCTCATGATCATAGCCTCCAGCAGGCCTACATAAGAGAATCCCGAGTAGAATTTGGCAAAAATAGGGTCTGACTGGCTGGGGGGGTGGGTCCACCGTTAGGGTTTCCACATCGCGAGACAAATCCTACGAGGGCCAAACTCCCCTGGCCAATTATTCTCCCAATTTGGCTAAATTTTACAGTAACTGTATTTGAACCCCTGTTGTCAGTCTGATGGAGACTACATTGTACATATCTCAGACAATTCTCAGAATCAAGCAAGATGCATGTCTATAAACAGAAGATACCCATCCTGGCAATGCGTTAAAGTGTTGATCTCCTTGACAGAAAATCATCAAAAAAAGAGACCACTTACCTGGAAAAAATGTTGTTAGCAAGATACGTTTAGAAAGGTTCATTCATCAATTTACTCATTTGTTCATTCATTACTCCATTCATTAATCCATCCATCCATCATCATCATCATCAATCTGACGTATTGCTCAAGCACACACAAGAGAAGTTCTCCCATTTCTCCTTCTAAGAAAATAAACTCTAGCCTAACGTACCACCATTGACGTCCCACACGTCCATCATGGCCTCTGCCATCTGGTCCTGTACATGGTCCATCACCTGGGGGATGGGACTGTCTGAGCGAGGTCTGGGCTGGGAGGGCTGTCTCTGCAGGGACAGGCAAGGTGACGGTTCATAATTACATAATGTAAACGCAGATGGTTTAGAACTTAACCTTCTCACTGTTGCCTAACCCCAGAACCAAATGGCTATACCTTAGCAGGTTGAAGGTTAATGCTGTTAATACACAATCATGTACTACAAAATGTAAAATTATAGAACAATATTATTGGACACATCCAGTTGGTTTTTGCTCCAGGCACATGAAATGGAATGATTATGTACCCCACCCAACAAAACTAGTGGCATACATTACAAGGCCAATACATTCGACCAGACCAACACGTCGAGCCTTGAACATTGGCAGAACGTACTGCTCCTGTGCAAAATCCATAATGTTAAGTACATTGCACTTCGGCAGAGCATCTATAAATGACATCCCATCTATAGTTTTCTAATGTTGTGTTGGGAACAATATTGTCTTCTGATGCAACGTTGACCAAACATCCAACAAAAACCATGCAAAATCTTTTTTTTTTTCGCACTGCCATGTGCAGTACGTTCTGCTGACGTGCTGAACAAAACCATCTATTACTAGTATTAAACAAAGAAGTGTACCTTTCTTCTGATTTCCTCACTAGACTCCATCTCCTCCACCCTGAGGTCTCCATCCTCGGCTAAGTACTGCAGCAGGGCCATCAGGGCAGCCAGAGAGTCACTACACGTCCGGATATGCAGCATGTTGTTGGACGCCTTCAGGTCAAATCTGGGCTGTTTCTGTTGGAAAGAAAGTGATCGAAAGTGATCTCAAACCATGGCTTGAAATTAAGAATGACAGCTCATCTGTGTTGGTAGAAACACAACGTGAGAGAATGGATCACACATCTTAATGTGGTTGATGAGATCGACCAAAATTTATGGTGAGTTCCCCTTTTTGTGTTGCAATAATTATTACAAAATGTATAAGTAAAGCTCAAACTTTATAACCAAGCTCGAAAGTTCACCATATGTTCTTGGTAGAAGTTATTATGAAACAATGCTAAGCATGAAACAAAATTAATACTGGAGCACAAAATGTAGTACGGTCGAAAATTTGGGTAAGTGCAATTTCTTGTCTAGGGAATTACAGTTCAAACTGGTTTTACAATGAGTTGAACCAATAAAACTAAAAGAACAATTACGCTACTCTTCTGCTAGTCGTGACTGAGAAGTCAGACACATTTACTGTGTTAAGCTAGTATGTGTGAGAAAATGTAGAATAACTCAGTTAAACAACTTACTGTGTCACTGCCTTCATTTAAGGTGAGCTTGAGTTCAAACAGTCCCATGTCCATCACACAAACATAGTCTGGTGACAAGAGAAATCAACATTAAGAACAACATGTATGTACTCAAGAGTCAAATGGAAAAGTCTTGACTCTGTATCAAAATGTTCCATGTAGATCATTCTACTCTTAAAATTGATGCTCAACTGCTAACTAAAGGGCATGCAATACTAGTTGCATAATACTATGGACATTTGTGCACAAAGATGCACTTTTGGACTGTGAGTAAAATTAAATACCTTCTTGACATTTAATTCCAAAAAAAAAAAAATTTAAAATTTGGTTGCATTACTTGTTTAGAATTTTGAATTTATGCACTACACAATAGAGACTTTGTCACATTTTACAGCTGCCAATAATTTTCTTTAACCGAAACAGCCACAAACACACGGTAGAAATCATTTCTGATCTTACTTCTCTTAAGGTCCACTGGTCCTTGGTCCCTCACGTTAGCAGACAGGTACAATGCTGAGTCATCCACAATAAATCTGCAAGAAAGTAACAACATGTTTTGTTCTCGAAAGGTGGAATGCCATAATGCCAAAAAAACATGAAAATAAACCACTGCAAAAGTTTCAAAATTTACAGTAAACAAAATTGATCTGGAGGGTTACCTTAATACAGAAATAGCAGAATCTACAACAATATTGCTGGATATGCTGAGTTTCTCCATAGTCAGCATGGCTCTCATTGGCAGGTGTACAGGTCTGCAGGGAAACACAAGAAAACGAGTCTGGAATTCCTTGCCACAAAACGAGGGAAAAGCATGCATATGACCTAAACCATATTCTTTTTTTAACAAAGCCATGCACAAAGGCGTGATACCTCAACAAATGTAACTAGGGGTGGGTACCGGTGTGGCTGTACCGGATCCAACTCAATATAACGTTAACTTTTCAAAGGCCTACATGTAATATCGAAAGAAAAACAAAAACTGAAAGCCGTAAACCAACAGTTTGAACTTGTGACAAAATACAAAATTATATTATTATAAAATATATATAATAGCATTTCTAGACATTTTATCTGGCCATGAAAGGTAAAAAATAACTTAACATCAAACTACATTAGACTAAATTGACACTACAATATACAAAACATAATTAGCACGGAGACCTGTACTGAATTGAATTGTGATCGTGGCATTACTGGGACAAGAAAGAACAGGTGTGTACTATAGTAACTGTAAATACCTGTAGTCTATAGCACAGCCCAGCAGGTGGATGTGTAGCTCTGTCAGGATGTGTGGTAATGTGTAACCCAAGATTGGGTAATCTACTACATCCAGGAAGTCTAGTATCTGCAAGGGAACATGGAACAGATTAGAACACTCTCGGCTAGGATGCTAAATGGCGGTCCCACGTTGGGGGAGAGCCATATGTAACTCCACACACATTAAAGAACCCACCACACCTTTCAATAGAGTAGGGGCATACCCCGGTGTGCGAATGTCCAAATTCTACAGCCCAAATACTACAGTGTAGCAGAATCATCAGCAAGTTGATGTTGGCTACCTCAACCCCAGAGAAAAAACAAGAAGACGAGACACATGCCTTCAAAGTGTTCAAGATTTGATTTAACTTAGTACAGTAACTGTAAAGGTAAAGGTAGTCCCATAGCCTTTTTTCAGGTCATAGGGGCAGTGGGTTGTGTGTGTGTCTAGATCACAGTATCATTGGAAGGTGGAGCCCATCCCTCTCCTTCCACCCCCTTTTACCTCCCCAACCGAAGTCAGGTACCCATTTTACACCTGGGTAGAGCATGAAAAGTCACGTAAAGTGTCAGTTGTACAACTGGTAAGACAATAAACAAAAACACCTCTTTTGCCTTACCTGTGTAAACCAGTGCTGTCCTTGTAGAAACACCTTGTGTCTTAGCGTTCCTCCTCTTACAGCAACAGCAACTAAGAACTCCTGTAAGACAGCAAAAGCTGGTTGACTGAGTCTGTCCTGCCACTTGCTACATAATGTAACCCAACACCACAGGGTGTCTGCTACAGCACCAGTTACCATGGTGAGAGTCCTCTGGTCCAGGTCATTGACCTTATCTAGTAATTGTAATGGCATAAAAAGAGGAAGGAGAAGAAACAGAGCAAAAACAGTTCTATTTTCCTTCTTCAAAGGTAAATATATTAATGAGAAAACATAACTGACCTTAACAGTTTCTGCCTTTTCTGTGTCCAGTGTGATCCTGACTCCCACAGACAGCATGTTGAGGCTGTCCCCTCCTGTCCCCACCAGTCCGGCCAGGCTGGTGTACACACCGCTGTCTGACCGGTAGATCAGGGGGTCCAGCTGGTCAGGGCAGTCTGGTGTGGCCCTGCCCACTATGTCCTCCCAGCTGTGGCCATCCACCTGACCTGTATCATCAAATGTAACTGTTACATAATATTTCTGTTTTTCACTGCACATTTACAAATGTATGTCCTGTTTTCATGTTCACTTCTGTGCCATGAACTTATCACGATGATTACTGTTACTAAATTATTTGTCTTTGCTCCCCCTCCCTCTCTGCACTTGCTGCCACCGTGAAGATTGAGTTCTGTGAACATGTCAATTTTCCTTAGACTAGAAATTTGCTACACTGACGACAAAGTGAAATTTTGCTACATTGCGGTTCACAGCATCTCATTAACATTTATCTGTATTCAAGCTCAAGACATACTGACAGGGGCAAAGATTCAGTCACGTAAGTACACGGTGATTTTAAACTTTGGGTATTTATGCACAATAGTTGGAAATATTCACAGGTAAAGGGATTTTGGGTAAGTCCATGTTCTTGTGTAACTTTTTGAAATTACAGACTGAGTTAAAACTTGTTTCATACACTCAGATGAAGTTTCAAGCTATATGAGAGACATAATTTGCTCACCTCTATGGAAAACCCCTGCCTTGTTGGTATGTACAAACAGATAACCCAGGTTAGGGTTCCCTTGATAGTTCACCACCACAAAGATGGTCCCATCCCTCACCTCCAGCAGCAGCTCCCCCTGTCTGTCTTCAGATGAATTGCCTTCCTCATCCTACACAATATTGCAACAAGAGGAATTCCCTATCAAACAAGTTGAATCCTGACTGTCCATCACAATTAGCTCATTTAGCAGTTCAACCAATGATAGTGTGGGAATTAGAGGGTCGACCAATGACAGAGTGGCTGCATGTCCATGAAATATTTGCATTTTCATGCTATTTCACATACAATTGGCAATTAAACATGAGCTCTAAAAACACAATTTGTACACATAATATTTTGGTTAGGTTTGAATACCTGCTGCAGAGTCTGACTGTTTGACCTTCTATTATATAATTTTACTTGTTTAAAGGCATCCAATTTGAAAGCAATTTCTGGGTGGCAAAACTAGATTTTTCAAACTACTTTATCTGATCATTTTTTTAATGAAGTAAATTGAATATTAATAGCATGCTAATACCTCTGACTCAAAAATTTGATGTCATAGTCTGGTTCTAGCTATTTATCGGTGGTACCAAAAAGTAAAGGGCCTCCTCACATAGATTGTTTTTGGGCTATTTCAAATGCTTTAAGTATGAAAATGATGACGAAAATGTACATGTACTAAGAAATTGTGTAAGAAACGGGAGGAACGGATAAAAACCCACTGGTCCCGGGCCGGGGTTCGAACCCACGACCAGTCCACAGGCAGACACTCTAACCGCTCGGCCGAAAAGGTCTAGACCCATCGGCCGGGTCAGTTGGTAGCGCCTATAAACCCCCCACTGTTACAATGACACTAAATCAGTAAATGTCAATACCAAAATACATTAGGTGCCTAGAGATAGAACAATCTGCTGACCTTGATTCTTGTGCCCAAGGCCAGTTTGCCATGCCCGATGTTGACGGAGACAGCCACAAAGCTCTGGGCCCTCCTCTGTCTGTACTGCTCCTGCTTCTGTTTCCTGTGCTGTCTCTGTTTGATCTCAGATGTGGAGTAGAAGGGTCCACTGTCAAACGGACCGCTGTCAAACTCATCATCATCATCTGAGTCAGAATCTGTAGGATGATACAACATTAATTAGGAGATATTTTTCCAAAATCAACTGTTACAGGAAATGATTGCATTTGGTCATTAAATGATATCTTCGATCAGTAGTGGTTTGGTCATGGTTGGTAGTCAAATTTGACTCCAAATTTGACTTAAATTTGGCTCGATTCAGAAGAAGCTGGTCAGACTAGGTCAGTGGTCCAGGGAAGGTTCTGAATGTGTGATAGGGTTCTAAGTGATATTATGTAAGATTTTCATTATTTTAAACATCGTTGTTTTATACATTTTCTTGCGTTATAAGACTACCTGGGTTCATAATGACATTTGGGGAGTTAAAGATCAACATCATTGCGCCACAAAAATGTGTTAAAAAACTGCCAGCTCCTCGGTTTGTGTACATTCTTTTTAGGAGCCTCCTACAAATACTGTGGGCCTGGTGCAACTTATTCTCATGCTTCGCTAAGTCGCCAGAAAAGCAAAATAGCAACACTAATAACAATGTACCGGTATGTTGAAAGTTATCGAAAATGACAATCAAGATAATAAAAATTCCAATTTCTATTCACAGTTTTGGCTGAAAATTTTTACATAATAATGCTTTAAGACAAAAGTGGACCTACCATACTGCAGGGCAGACTTGCACATGATGAACCTGTCCTTGCCTGCCCCCTGCATGAACTGACTGGCCAGGTCCAGCCCCACCTGACCCTGCAGGCTGTACTGGTCACTCGGGTTTACCGGTGACGGGGCGGCCGGCGCCCACAGACACAGGTCATTGTTTATTCTGTAACACAGGGAGATGACCATTTCAATACTGTGCCTACTAACAACAGGGATATCTTCAATGTGTTCTGCATACAGGTAAATTTCCCCATACTTAAACAAAATGCCAGTCATATGTGCAGTTGGGAAGTACATAGAAACTGACTGCTACATGTATGTGGCGTCCACTTTCAAAGACACCACTTTCTATGCAACTACATACAAACAATGCTGTAAACTTTACATTTGGTGATGAAAGAAATGCTTTTATGTAGTAAAACTACAGTGTAGTCAATGTAGTGTAGTCAGCAGTATCCTGCACCAAAATCTACTTCTTACTTTTATCATCATCCTAACAAGCATGTTGGCAGAACGCAAAAGCTGTTTAGTAATGTACTGTGCATAGCACTTCGTGAGAACGTCTCTTTTAAGATGATCATCGCAAACTTTAAGGATGACATCCATTCTATACTTTTCAAATATTATATCAGGAAAGATATTGTCTACAAAAGGCAAAATTCTGAGGCAACATTGACCAAACATCCAATGTAAACCCTGAAAAATCTGGGTTTTGCGCAGGTGCAGTATGTTCTGCCGACATGCCATATGTGTTGTCAAGTTTAGTTATATTGGAAGTGGGGAAAAAATGGCAAAATTCTGATGCAACGTTGACCAAACATCCATCGTAAACCCTGAAAAATCTGGGTTTAGCGCAGGTGCAGTACAATTCTGCTGACGTGCTACAGCAAGCAGAAGAGATGCCTCACCTATTGTACAGGTTCTCATAAAAGGCTTTGTCCGGTAACACCAGGTTGACGTTAGGGAAGGAGAACTCCAGACATATTCTAGCTGTGGCGATGGTCGTCTCCTGGAAGTCTGACAACTCCGCCTGGTCACCCGGCATGATCATCTGTGGAAAAAACAAATTTCTAAATTATCTCAATTCATCGAAAATTCTTTCATCAGGTACGAAAACAATAGTAGTGGACTATGGCTAAACATCCCATCCTAAGGACTGCTACCCTTTCAAAAATTGCCACTTTGAGGAAAAAAGCCCTTTTTAAAATAACTGAATTTACTTAGCAAAAAAAGCACAACAGATGCTACTCCATGTACTAACAGTAACTGTCAATTCATTTACTTCTGCAGGCACTTAATTTTGAAGTAGAATGGAAAGAAGAATGCTTTAACTTTAAGCTCAGTTGAAATAATTCTGTACTACAGTTACTGTAGATTTACAGTTGTCTGTTGTAACATATCTTCTAACATTTTCAAACATGTCAGTGTTTCATTTTAAGTGCTCTGAACTATTGTTAAAATGACAATCAATGAATAGAGCACTTGGTGTGTTTACCTCCTCGTTTTCAAACATGACTTTCTTGTTGGAGAAGACAGAGGGCTCCTGCTTGCCCGTAAGAGTCTCCTCCAGAGAGTGGTTTGGTGTGCTGGGTTCCGACTCCACCTCCTCCTCCTCCAGAACTGACCCTGCGTTGTACGGCTTCACAGTCACAACAATCCTGTAAGGAGAGAGAAAAATGTGTTAAATTTTTGTGTTTTGCACATAAGCCAACTACATGTACTTTCTCCTCTGTGTACAGAAAGTGGGAATAGGAGCAAAAAAGAACGCAATTAATTTTCATTTTGTGCTATCGGTGCATCTACTAAGTTTGGTTCATGCTTCATATTTCATTTAATTTCGTTCCATTTTGCTCTTTTTCACACTTTCTGTGCACCCCTCTCTCCTTGGAGCTGAATTGTGAGAAGCTAACAATTGGTGGGGCTGAATCGCAAGTGTCTGGAGTGGCTACCATTCAGCACTAACTCAGGTGACCTAAAAACGTCCGAAGGTGCGGTCAAACGACTGTAACCTTTTAAACCACTCACGCTGGGAAGGACTCAGCCTACTCATTTTGACAAGTATGCAGGGTCCTTCTTTTAACATGCTCAAAAAAAACAAGACCTCTAGCTTCAATCTGAAAGGACGTCCCTAACTGAAGCTAAGCTAAGTGCCTTTCCCAAGGACGCAAGAATGTGGAGTGCCTAGCAATTTGAACCCAGAACCTTCATGCAAATTTTGAGTCAATAGCCCTAACAGCACGACCACCAAACAACCAACCTGTCTTACCTTGGCCAATCAAATCCACTGCTGACAGGAGCGTCAATGTCTCCCTCTGACTGGCCGTGGGAGATCCGACAAAACGACACCGCTTCTTCTGATGGGTCCAGTTGGTAAAGTCCTGGGATGATTGATTGAGATATTATGAATGAAATACACAAATTGGCCTGCTGGCCATTCTTCATTAAAGTCATTAGGGAAGAGAAAATAAGATGCAAGTTACATGAAAATGAGATATGGGTAACTGTCTGACAAAATAAAATACAGGTTACAACAAGGAGAAGTCGTAGACATCGTCCCTCCATGAAATAGCTTGTTATTTTGTAATCTTTTGGTGTATTTTAATAGAGATATTATGAGTCAAACTTTGTTTTTATCAGCAGAATGATAGATGTCTATAGATGTCTATCCTTCAAGAATTTTGTTGTGGCACTTCGTATTGGAAGGGGTTGCCCAAGCTGTCATGTGCAATCGTTTAGTGTCTTGTTACCATGGTTTGTTTGAGGTCAATGATCTCTCAAGCACCAGATGACCCAGTTCCCTGCTGAATGACCGATTAAAGATAAGATATATTTCCTGCAGAAATGGTCTAGAGGTAAAAATAGATTGGCCTGACCTGCCAGCTGGAGGTATAAACAAAAACACTCTGTGCCAATTTGGGGTCAAACAGACCATCCTATTATGAAATAGGGGTGAAAATGTGAAAATCCTTTTAAATAAGCAATGCAAATCTACGACAACCTGCTAATGCACGCTAAAACGCAAAGACAATCAGCATCTACCCACATACCAAAAATGATCGCCAACCATCCACCGGGTTCTGAGATCATTCAACGCAAACAATCTGACATTGAGATAGCAATTCCGGTTCAAAGCAAACAGCTAGGGGGCCCAAATTTACATCACTAAACCATTGTAACCACAACTACATGCTACCTTAGCATCGCACACACAGACCATAACGTGCCAACAATAGAATAAAAAATTAAACTGCAGTACCAAGGTCAATCACCAGGTGCTCAAAGTCAACCTACACAATCTCCAAGGCCCCATCCATCAATCTGCCAAATATCATACAGTTCCTTCTCACCGATCTTCAGATATCAGACCAAACATGAAACGGAGTAAAAACAATACCCCCCATTTACATGGAGGGTAATGAGTGAAATATTTGTCATACTTGGATGACATGGATCGTGTGTGGTTTTTAAATGTTGTGTTAGAAAAGACAATCACCTGCAACGGGCAGCATTCTGTAACGGTTACAGCGTTGAAAAAACATTTAGTGAAATCCATGAAAAATCTGGGGTTCGTACAGGTGCAGGACGTTCTGCCAATGTGCTTCTAGGCACCTACATTGTACCATAGCACACTGGCAGAAAGTACATGTACTGTGCCTGCGCAAAACCCAAATTTTTCATGGTTTTCGAAGGATTTTTGGTCCACATTGCATCAGAATTTTGCCTGTTGCAGACAATATTTTTCCAACATTAACATATGCGCAAATACAACCTTATATGAGACGTTCTGCCGAAGTGCTATGCACAATACATTACAGGTTTAACACAGGCGCAGTACGTTCTGCCTACATGCTCACAGGAACCTACCGTGGACTTCTCGGAACTTGAGCTCGTACTGTGAGATGTCCCCCATCCCCAGGGTTGTCTGGAAGTCAAAGTCTGTCACATCCAGGACCAGAACCTCTTTCCTGACGTGTTTTTTCCACCAGGGCAGATGGTCCAGGTTGGGTGGTCTCAGGTCCGGGATGGGGAATCTGGGTAAGAAATTAAACAGAGTTTAATAAAAAGTCAAACAAGTGAAAATAAGAAACTTTTAACATTTGCAAAGCAAGACTAGTAAAATGCATAATTATTTTACCTTTAAATGCTCTATCCCAACATGGTCTGCTCTGTTTATACTCAATCAAACATAATTATTTGGTGACCAGCCCCTCCAACTGTCCTGCCACTTGCTACATAATGTAACCCAACACCAAAATTTTCTCTCTTCCTTCAAAATATTGTATCAGACTGAGTGTAATCCAAGGCAGTTTTTGTTTCTTTCAACCAGTTTGTGAACAAGTTAAGCTTTGTAACTGCAGAATGTAGGAATCTGGGAATCAACAAATCAACTTAAAATGATAAACTAATAGTATGATATTAAATTAGTAAACACCAAAACAAATGGTACCCAAGTCCTTACCTGACATGGAACTTGGCAGCTGGGGATAATATGTGCAGACTGATGGGGTTTTCACACGCAGTGGGGGTCTCATCTAAGGCTTGGCTGAACAAGGCTTGTCTCGTCTAGAGAACAATAGGAGCAGTCAGTAGGACATCTCTTTTTCAATACAGTATATTGACAATAATGATAGGCTAGGGATGTAGTATTTTGGTACCCTTTTTGGATTTCTGTAAAGTTCCTCTTAACATTTCACTAATTATACTCCCCCATATTTTCTATTTCCTAGCCCTCTTTCTTCTATACAGATACTGTACATATAGAGGACGGTGTATTCCATATCACCCGAGGTACCAGCCCAACCACGGGTCGGATCGCCCAACGGCCAAAAGTCAGAGGGAGATCCGAACCGTGGAAGGGCTGGGACCGAGGGTGATGCGGAATACACTGTGTTCTATTTTATTCATGTCACACCCATCCAATAAAACACATATTCCAATGGGAAATGTGCCAAAATTTGGTGTGCCTAAACAAAAAATATGACTTACAACATCAATTCCAATGTCCGAATCCGGTTTCTGGATTTTGACTCAATTATTCTATGGATCATTTGGCGGCCTGTGTGATAATAGCTAGTTATCACACAGGCCAGAATATCTGTATAAAACTTTATCACAGCCCAGTATGATACAAGGATCCAGACTCACCATACTAGCTGTGGGCTGGATGGAACTGAACATTCCGGAGGAGCTGCTCATCTGTGCCAGGGGCTGTGGGTTGAGCAGGGCGTTGAGTCTGTCCACGATACTGATGTCCACCTCACACTCACACGTCCCCACCTCTACTGTCACCTCCGGGATGGGGGGCTTTGTGTACACACCCTATAGTGGGAAGAACAGGGTCACATTGTGTGACTGTCATTGATGTTTGCATTTGGCAAAAAGATATCAGTAATAAAAACTGCTATATCTGTCAGTATATAAAATGGTGACACCAACCACTAAAGCTGTTAACATTTCTTTCTCCTTTAAAAGTAAATGTTTATCTGCTTCCACTGACCCTTAGAAATTGAAAGAGGTAAGCAAATATCTACATTCAGTTCACTTCTACTTTACTTGTAGATTTCTAGTCAATACAGTATATGGTGTATAGTATAGTACCATACAATAATGGGTGTAATTTACATGAATCCTGCTAGAGGGCACAGTTGTATAGATGTCTTATCAATTGTAGGGTATGAATGGTAGTATCCAAGAAACCTGGCATGATAGTCAGCCCAGATAGACAGTGCAGCTTTGTCTGTAAACCAGTGAAAACCCACTGGTTGTTGAATAAAAACAAACTTTCTCATACAATCTCTTGCCAACCTGATAAAAAAATTCAGAGTTTCATCTGTCACATGTAAAATGTTTCGTGAATAAATCAGACATTGTGGACATTACATACCTTTCCACCTTTATCTACATTCTTGAACTTGACCTTGAGACAGGGGCTGGTGGTGGGGAGGGCAGCGAACATGGACTTGGTGGTCTCCTGCTGCTGAAGGTCAGGGAAGGACAGCAGCTGGGGGGCATGAACATCTGTGTTATTCAGTGTTCTAGCCTTCACCTACCTTTCTGTCATGACATTTGACGTAATTTTGATCAAGGCACATTAAAAATTTGGACCAATCCGTCATCTTTGACAGACAAAAATTGGCAGGTTAAGATATAGAAAGAGATGGCAGGTTATTAAATTAACAGGTTATTAAATTATATGTTAGTCAAAAAACTGAGATGACAAAAAAAAAACTTCAGGTTGGCTAGAACACTGCCTTTTGTTGGTTCATTCATGAGCTGTTCAACAGTGGAACTTTGAGTTATTACACACTAATTCACTAGACTCTTACTTTAAACAGATGATTGGAAACTAGTGAGCAACTGTGGAGAACAAAATTGTACATGTTATTAAAGTGGCTTTCTTTTCGTAGTTTCCCTATAACTGTCATAACTTTGGCAGTCATGACATTACGTCAAACAAAATTGACATGACAGGAAAAGTTTCAGGTCTGAATAGAACACTAGTACTGCTCAAAACGTGGTTTTGCGCAGGTGCTGTACATTCTGCTGAAATACTCTGGTTCACGATCAGGTACCTCTGTGTATGTGGGTTCTGCGGGGTCGGAAGTCATGTCGGATCGCGAGTCCCTGTCGTACAGACACTCCACCAGGTCCAGCAGACCCACGCTGACGTCAGCCACGGTCCGCTGGAAGTGGTGGTGAGCGCTGGTGTTAGACTTCTGGTCACACTCCAGCATCACAGGGGCAGCCACACATCTGGGAACAGTAACAGGTCTTATGTCAACCTCAAAAAGTTTATTATAGTAGTGTCAGTAGTAGTCGTTGTAGTAGTAGTAGTAGTAATTGCAGTACAAGTAGTAGTAGTAGTAGTAGTAGTAATAGAAGTAGTACTGTAGTAGTAGTAACTGTAGTTTACTGTAGTAATTAGTAGTAGTAGTAGTAGTAGTAGTAGTAGTAATACCGGTAGTACATGTAGTACTGTAGTAGTTGTAGTGTAGTAGTAACAGTAGTAGTAGTGTAGTAGTAGTAGTACTGTAGTTACTGCGGTAGGAGGAGTACATTTTACTGTTTTGGTCTCATGCTTGGTCAACATTGCCGTAAAAGCTACAATGTAGTTATGTACTACTACTACTACGGTAACCGCAGATTCACAGCACCAGCTTTGTATTCCTGTTAAGCAGCATTTTTTGGCTGGAATTTTTTTATTTGCCTGCTCGCACTAGTTTGGGTGTCTTCTGAGGATGTCATCTATAAAATCAAGTGTGTGTGGCTAATACTAGGTAAAGCTACTCACTGTAGATGGTCGTATTGGCAAGCCTTGGCTATTCTGTCCTTCATGGCAGCCAGGTCCTTCCAGCCAAACGCGGAGGTACTGTACCCCATCACGTCCGCAAAGTATTTCTCCGCCATGTCCAGTAGTAGGTTACTGGACTCAGGCTTGTCGCTCCTGCTGGTGGGCGTGGCTACGGGGTCGTTGTGCAGGAGAGTGATTGACAGGCAGCTGAGTTTGAGTCTGTAGTGGGTCCGCTCTGCCTTGGCCTCCTCTTCCAACAACTCCTGACCTGAAGGTGCTACAGGTACAGGTATGACAAAAATGTACATTATGCAAAAGATTAGCTCCCAGGGGTTGTGGCACACCCCAGTTTATTTTGCATCTAAATTCTACACACACTCTCAAGTCTAGGGATTATCTCTTTCGGGAAATGATTTTAAAGCAAGAAACTGTTACAGTATAGGAACAAAGGTTGTCCTTCTAGCTACAGGAACAACAAAATTCAAATTCTTTAACCCTCAAATTTTAGTAAATTTTACATGCAACAAGGATCTTGCAATGAAACATGGTGTGAAAAATCAGGCATTTTCATGGGGAATCAAAGCCATTGTCTATGATTAAAACACCAAAACAACTTACACTGTCGGAAAGAGGAAACCTTATGTCTAAGAATATCCTTACACTGAGATTTTTACAATAACTCATGGTGCTAATGGCATAGCAAGATGCACAAGAATACATCGAAGGTCAATCTGGTGCATTGCTTTCTATGTGGAAGAATATCTGGAAGAAAGGCTCTTGAAGCATGGCAAAAGATGCTTGTTGAAAGAAGAAAACATCTCTTAGACTCACTTCTTTTTCTGCTAGAGGGTTTCTGATTGGCAGCGACCCCCTTAGGCAGGGTGGCTGTGAAAGGGGAGGAGCCTCCACCAGCATAGCTGCTGTACCCAAACTTGTGGGCACTGTTGTCTGGAAAAGGACATACAAGAAATCTCAACTACAAGTTCACTGTACAAAAATAATCTTATTATAAACATTGTTTTTAGTATTTGTTTATCAGTATATTATGGTTATGACTAAAAACCTATGAAGACTTGATAAATTAATGGTAAGAGATGAAGCTACTACAGCAGTTGTTGTTCAATGTGGGTCAAGCTTGAAACAAATATTCAGAATAACTTGATATCATAGATTGATTAAATGTGGAATAAAAAAATTAATGTAACATTTGCAAAGCAACAATGATTTCCTTCACATGGTCTAGCCCAACAAACTACTGCTCAGTTTATTCTCCAAACTCAAACACAGACTGAAACACATTCATATATAAGGTGACCGGCCCCTCCAACTGTGTCCTGCCAGTTGATACATAATGTAACCCAACAGGTGTCTGCTGCAGTATCAGTTACCATAGTGACAGCAATCTGGTTTATGTCATTGACATAGTTTGTTTGAATGAAAGACAAGGAAGAAGAAGAAGAAAAAATGGAGGAAACAATATGTTTTTTTTCTCTGGAGGTAAACATAATAAACAGGCAAAACCTTGAGAGCTTAGGAAGTGAACTGGCTAGAGGATCACTGTGTGATATTTACTTCTGGGTAGCCTGTGTCTGGCTGAGTCACTGCTGCTGGCGCTGTAGTTACTCCCGAAGGACGTCTCCAGGTCCACCTCCGGGGGCTGGCCCAGGGGAGGCAGCTGTACGTTCAGTCCTGCTGCCATGGAGTAGTACACATCATCATCATCATCATCTGCAAAGTCAATTGTCACTTCAGTCAAACTGATAGAATTGCTACACAACACGTTGTTGCCAGATACAGTGTCAGAACATCATAGGCCCACATAAGGAAGCTTGTATTGTACAGATGGAAAGATCACAGGATAGATGCCTAGAACACAAATGCCCTAGCTTAATAACTTTGGAAGTTTGACAACAAATACATAATACAACTGTTATAGAATTGCCTAGGCAGTCAATCTCATTGGACAAAGTAAGAATCCTGAACATGGAACCATAATTTTTTGCAAGAGGCATTTTAAAAAGATGCCAGCTACAATTTAGTACAAATGTATTACATCCATCCCTCAACAAAGATGGGGGGGGGGGGCACCACAAACTCTCCGCTCAATGAGTCAATTGCTTGTGTTGAAAAGTACAGGTCAAACTTGTTTCATAATGTTGTTCTTTCCAAATGGTAAATACTACACAACTACTACTACTAGGGTCAGTTAACAGTTACTGTCTATATATAGTATTACCTGAATCTTCAAAAATAATTGATCACAACAACGTCTAGCCAGGACACAACATCTTGCCAGACATGTCTTTCAGACAAACAGACAAACCTGCAACCTTTTAATCATGTGTTTGCTAGCCTAGCCACACTTGACGCAACATTCAAACAATATTATTAGATTTATTTCATATTCAACTGTTACTCCTAAGTTAAGTTACCTAGTCCTTTCTTGTGTGAGCCCTCCATGGCATGCCTGCCCATGGCCAGGTGGTAGTCACCGATGTGGTCCTCCCAACCGGTCGCCACCGGCTGTTTGGGCTGCCGGTCTTCGTACAACTGACGCTGGAGTTCACTCTCGATCTTCTGGTAGTCCTCCGGGCGGATGGGCTTGTTCAGATGACTCTCTGGACTCATACTGGTTGAGGCTGTTTAGGATAACTAGTTAATTAATTACTGGGAAAAAATGTAACATTTGCAGGGCAAATACGTAATGTTTACCTTCACATCATCAGATGGACTAGTTCAACAAACAAACAACAGCTCTGTATATTCTTACTTGAACACATATTTTTTTATGGTGACCAGCCCCTCCAACTCTGTCCTGCTACATAATGAATAGGGTGTCTCCTACAGCACCAGTTACATGTACATGTACATTTGTATTTGAAATAGAACTACACAAGATGAACAAGAAACAGAGCAAAAAATTATGTTTTTCTTCTGTGAACTTCAAGGTAAACAAAAGTATTGGTCAGAAAAAGACCAATGCTTGTTTACATTTATTTATGATTTTGGACTTGAACTATTCCTGTACTGATTCAGCTTGAATACAAATATGATACACATTATGTACCTTACAGCCACTCAGTAATAGTCCTTAATTTGAGTAACAATTTGTTTCCAATCAAAATTGATGCAACAGACACCTTCCGTATTACTGACCTGGTGTGAGGATCTCATTGGCCATCTCCATCAGCAGGTGAACCTGCCTGGGGCTCAGGAAGAAGTTCAACGACCCCAGGTAGCACTCCAGGTCAAACTGGAAGAGAAGTGCGCCAGACAATTCTCAAGTCTGTTGTGACATACATTGTAATGTTCTTTAATCTGACCTCTTGAATAATTGGCATTATGAGTCAATATCATTGTGCAAGCATGCAGCATGAATCAACAATTAAACCAGTAGAAAAGATACAGAATCCCTGTGCAGTACCAATGACAGCTGCAAGGAGGCCCATAATTGACCTTGACCTTAGTCTTCCTACCTACCAGTACCTACCAACATACCACATATCAACATCACAATCCACTCAGACATTCTGAAGTTATTCTGGCCACAAAATATCTGAAAACGTAGACCGAAAACAGCCATTTTTTCATGGAGGTAACAAAACATTTACACGCGTGACTCAGATACCTTACCTTTGGTCCCGAGATGCTTTCGCTCTGTTTGACCTTGACCTTGACCTCCTGCATGCCGGAGCAGACGCCCAGCTTGATGGGGTTGGAGGGGACCTGTGGGTGGGGGTCAGACTCCGCCCCCCTCCCCTCCAGGGGGGACGGCATCTTGGGGGTCAGCGGGGGGGACAGGTTGGAATCTGACGACTGGTGACACAGATAGATAAAATAGAATCTTAGTAAAAAGTTTGACTTCATTCCAACACAAAGATTACAAGGAGATTATGTTTTGAAGTGATTAGTCATTAATTATCCTGATGAAGGCAACAGTGGTCATTGAAATTTTGATCTCTGCAATCTGTGTAATCTTTGTGTTGAAATTATATCAAAGTTCAACATTTTACATGGCACTTCCAACATTATTATTATTATCATATTGTAACCCAACACTAGTTACAATGATGACAGACGTCTGGTTCTGGCCACTGACCTTATTTGTTTGGAACGGAAGAATTAGGAGCAGAAGAAGAGGAAACAGGGCAAAGACAATATGTTTTCCTTCTAGTTCTACAAAGGTAAGGCCACACTAATTTAATTTTGTTGTTTCTCAAATTGTTTTTCAGAAAAAATATGAAGCGACAGGGCGAAAATAAAAAAAAAAACAGGCCAAGGCACCCCATGCATGACAGCCGGAAATGTTACAATATGAGCCATGAAGTGAACATACCAGGCTGGTTTATAATTAAAACCATAGATTTTGAACTTTTAATGAAACAAAATTGCATTGAAAAACTGTGACAACTAGGAAAAAAGGACTTTCTTCAACCGTTGGGGCCAAAATATGTCGCATTTTACATTTTTCAGTTGATCTAGAAGTTGTAGAACCCCGAAAAAAATTTGGGCGGGGGGGGGGGGCAAAGCAGAAAAAACATGGACAGGGCGAATCCGAGAAGCAACAAATTAAATTGGTGTGGCCTAAACATTAAAAAAAATCCAGAGCAAATAATTCATGACTTATACTACCTGAGGAGACATGTTAGGTGAACATCTTGCACTGGTCCTGGCGCTCTCTGGGAACTCGTCTGAGTGGAGGGTGACTCCCATCATGTGGAACACTTTGGTGGCCACAGCCGCAGGCTGCATCAGCTTAGGCTCATCTCTGTCTACAGGACTGCCCTGGTCAGCTGCACACTCATCAAAGTACTCAATTCTGAAGACAAACAGAACAAGAAAGGTGTCAACATGAATTCAGAGACCTCAGATCTCCATGAAATTATGAAGTTATGACTTTTTAGGAGAGGTTGAAAATCCTTCATGAAAAAGAGGCTCAATTTGCCAAGACTGATGCAACGCAACCCATTTGCAATCCCCTTCTTTATCTATCATGCAAGGGAAAACAAGAAGCTGTTTCAAGGAGGTCATGTAATGATAAACACCGAAAAGCAAGTGCTACCAGATGTAGATGTCATTGATGCTTTCTCACTCTGGGACAGACTGAACTCAACCTTATTCATTAAAACCTACCCTAAGAGCCATGTGGAAACACACACACACACACACACACACACACACACAGACATATCAAAAACAATACCCCTGTACCTACATTTAAACACTCTTGATCCTAATGTTTCTACATATTTTGGCATGTGCTAAAACTCCCAGTATGATAACCTGAAAGTCAGACTATTTCCAGGGCATACACAGGCCAGCACCACCATTTGGAACTAAGCAGCTAGCCTGTGTAGGCCCTGAAAACAGTCTGGCATCCAGTCTGAGTACCTTTTGATGTGGATTTCCAGAGCAGTTCCAGTCTTGGAGTCTTTAGGCACGTGTTCAATCCTCACTATTGTGTCCACGAATGTGACTTTTATTCTGGTCAGAACTGCAAGAGAAAAAAGGCAAAATAATATTCACAAGATTTTTTATACATCAGCTAAGGAGGATTCAGTACAAATCACCTGGGCAGAGGCCTGGCAAACCCTTCTTGTATTAGCCCTGAAATTGCATTGGATGCCTTTAACAAATAAATAAAAATCACCTGTCTCTATGGTCTGTGCGAAGAGCTCGAGCCCCTCGAACGGCTGGACCTCCTGCTCATCCCCCGCCGCGGCCTCCTGTTTCAGACACTCCTGAGCCAGCTGCATGCTGGTCGTCATGCTGCCCTGCCAGATGGAGTTCATCATGCTCCCTGTGGGCAGACATCATCATAATCATCATCATCATCACCATCTTCATAAGCCTCATTATCACCATCTTCATAAGCATCATCATTGTAACCATCATCATCACCATCTTCAACATCATCATAATCATCACCACCATCATCTTCACCATCATTATCATCATCATCACCACCATCACATCTTCACCATCATTATCATCATCATCACCAACATTATCATCATCACCATTATTATCATCATCATCACCAACATTATCATCATCACCATCATTATCATCATCACCAACATTATCATCATTATTTTCTGATTTGAAAAAAAAAAATTTTATCAGACGATAATATTCTCCATCCAGTGACAGTCTAATCTAAGTCCTGGTTTGACTAAGTTATGCAAATAAGATCCTTAATCTTTTTATGGTCTCAACAAGACCTACCCCCCTAGCAGTCCATTCAATCCTTCTTGAATTATTGTGTTGACAGACAGACAGACACAAAAACATAACATTTTGGCTACCGAAAACATAACCTTTTGGTGAAAAGCTTGATGTGGTGTATTTATACAATACCTACTATATTGAATAGATGATAAGGAACATTCCATGTACCTGGCATACTGTTACTGTTCTCAGGCCGATATTTGGGTTGCAGAGTCACTTCCAGGCCCTTGATCTCCATGGTACAGTTGTCATTGAGGAGGGCCGACCAGGGCACTGCAACAGAGATGCTGCCGATGTAGCCATCGATCATCTCCACTGGGGCATTGGTGCCCTCTAGCACCTCATTCAGGGACTGCAGGAACATATTTTGCAACCACAGACATGAACCTCAAAATTCATCGATGAAGGTTAAAAACTCAGGTATATATGTATAATGAGATACACAAGAAAACAGTTACTTAAACAACCGGATAGATTTTCAAAATGAAATTTTCAATGAGTAAAAAATCTATCCATTGAGTTGTTTGAGCAACTGTTTTTTTATTTCACTCCATACTTCAGTATGGAGTGAAATACTGTTTTTTCTGATGTTTCTTCTTCTTCTCCTGCCACTTCTTTAAATTGATTCAACTCCTTCATTTTTGGGCAAAATTACCTGTAATTTCGTATAGAGGTAGAGTGGGTAAATACCCTTAGGCGTTTTTAAAATTTTTTTGATACAAGCTTTTACAATCGTTTTATTTGCTTTTTAGTGGTCCCCATAGGAAAGTACTGTGGGGGCGTACGCACGTGACGTAATAAGAAAGGAATTCGGCATGTCCAAATATGGGCATAAAAGCATCAACCTGACGCAGACCAATCATACAACGCTTTTCGAATCTCCCGCGAATTTCTTCCGCTGACGCTGATTGGACATATGCGTCACGTGATCATTTTAACTGTTAAACATTCGGTCGTCTGCAAGGTGGACGACTTTTGCTGCCAGTGTCAGGTTCTCGCC